GATTTAGTAGTTAGATAACCTTGAAATTTGTAAAGTGTAATTGACATTAGATGATGAATAAAAGGTGTTTTATTTATGAGTAAAGTGTTGCTATCTCTTGTCGATCGTTTACTATATTTCTTTTGCATGTTTTGACTTCCAGAATAATTATGTTTGGTATATCATATTCTTCGAACCTCCACAGTCGGTCATATGTCGGAAGTAGGTATGAATCAAGACTGTCATGATTGGTTGCAGAGGTCTAAGTTGTTGGACATGGCTACAACACTCATGAGTGCTCATAAGTTCTGAGCATTGGACTCAACCCACACTCACTGGAATCACTTCATGGAATTTATCTCGAGTGATCGTGAGACGGTAATATCATATAAGTCTTCAAACCTAGAGATATGATTTGTTACTTATGAGTTGGTTATGCATTGATTGTACGTTAACGCATTGGTAACTCGATGTTATAAAACGTGCTCTTGTGTATAATTCAATGAGTGGTAGAACAAACATATCAGTCGAAGTTTATCTGTTCCTTCTTGGATTAGAAGCTGATATCTGGGCCCCTCGATGATTTTGTTTTGACCTATGTACCGGGCCCGGTCAAAACTAAGTTGATGTGTTCAATTAAGTTCTTTGTCAAACAAATCGGAAATCGGGAAACAAACTGCTGGACAATAACTAAGACATTGTTCCATGTATTTGTCCGGCTGATATCTAGAACAGAGGATTATATGATCACTTATCTGAAATGGCGTATCATCATCTTCTCAGTTCCGAGAAACCTTGAAAAGAGCTACGATTGCTGATCGGTTCCTGAAGTCATACTTGCAGTTATAGTTATTAGACTTATCCAAGTGGGAGACTGTTGGATAAGGTGTCTAAGTCCATAACTATTTCTGGTATGTACTTGACCCGACCCGACATGGTCCATTTGGGGTGCATGGCATCATGCATTTGGATAGACTAAATGAGATAAATAACACTTGTGGTTTATTAATATATTATAAGTTCTAATATATTAATAGTATTATTTAATTAGTATTGATCAAGAATTAATCTAGGATTAATTAAGTGATCAAAAGATGACCAATTAAATATATGGGTTGATCATGTAAATCATCCATAACTTGTATAGTGGGCTAAAAGGCTCCATGGATAATCAAGTTGGGTTAAACCCATTGAATGCTCCATGGAGGCTCCATGGGAGTTACAAACCCATGGGTCATGGAAATGAAGAGTCATGCCACATTAGGGTTTACATGGTGTAACCCTAGATGTGACACACTATATAAGCAACATGTTCTCCACCAAAATCGGTGACAATAAGAAACAAGAGGGCTAGGCCGATTTTAGAAGTGTGTATTCTCTCTAAAGTCATTCCAAAAGCATTTGGTGTTGTGTGAAGCATTTGAGGCATCACACTTGGGGTGCTAGGCTCACAAGGTTTCAAGGATCATAAGCAACAACAAGGTAAGTTATTCTATCTTTCATGCAAGTTAAAAAATTTGTTCCCCATGTATGCTAGATAGGAATATAACCTTGGAATTCAACTTTGCATGATAATTAGACAAACATAGATCCAAGGTTATTAGGGTTGCATGTATACTTAGGAAGTGTTAGAATGCTCAAAACCCATCAAATACCACATACCATACAATCATACATACTGTCGGGCAATTCTGGGGTGCCCGACCTACCTGTGTCAAGCCGTTATGGGGTGCTGGCCTACCCATGTCAAGCCATTCTGGGGTGCTGACCTACCCGTGTCAGGCCATTCTGGGGTGCCTTCCTACCCTCCGGTCTATCTCAACCGGTCTCGGGGACTGTTTCACCCCTACCATTATCACATAATAACATATCATAATCATGCGGTCAGACATATCTGAGGTGTCCGACCTACCCTTCGGTCCTAACGACCGTATCGGGGGACTATTCCCCTCCTACTACCACTATCGCTAATAACATATCATACTGGCACATAGAACACGTCAGGTAGTAGCAAACCTAGATAATTATCACAAAGACAATCACCTAAAGACATTCCCTGCTGGTGGGCCGACATTTTGTGGCCGTAGACCCACCTCTACTGGAAGGTAACTCACCTCAATGTCGTGTAGTGTCTGTACTGTCCTCGGTATGGAAATCAACTCTTCTCGACTCCTCAATTCCTACACAACATCCTTTCTACATTGCCATTTCATACTCATAACCCCTACAAGGGTCAACTCAAATCCTAGTCAAAGTCAATGTCAAAACCTTAGTCAAAGTCAACTTTGGTCAAATTCAACATCTGTTGACTAGACTCACCGAGTTGGTCCACCAACTCGTCGAGTCCCTATGTCCACAAAATGCTACAACCCCGTCCCCACTCGTCGAGTCTAGCAAGAGCTCGACGAGTTCTCCTTCAACCAAAACATCGGGACCTTCTTCAAGTGACTCGCCGAGTTCATCCTTGAACTCGTCAAGTTCATCTTCATCTTATGAAGGTGTTTAGTCTATGACTCGCCGAGTTCTCCTTGAACTCGTCGAGTCCGTCTTCATGTGGTTGGGACATTGCCTTGAACTCGCCGAGTTCCTCCTTGAACTCGTCGAGTCCTTCGATCTTCAACTCCATAACAAAACCCAAACAGGCTGAGTTTTCCTTCAACTCAACCAAAGACCATTTCCAGAAGACGTTTGGGGGGAAAATGCGACCCGACTCGCCGAGTCACCTAAGCGACTCGCCGAGTCCCTCTTTGTCCAAAACTATACAATCGATTTTAATCTGTCTTAATGCATCCAAGCCATAGATCTGACCTCCTAGGGTCCATATTATACGTAAAGCTTCGAACTTGACGTTCATGCATGGGGTATTTGGCTCAAAAGGCCTAAAACTGGGGTTTATATGATGCATGGAACTCCCATGGCCATAAAGTTGGCACCTTTATGCCATGGGAACCCTCAATGGTTCCAGATCTGAAGCTAACACTCCACAATATGATCCAAACCCAAAGGTGACTTAGAAATGTCCCAAAAAATGGCAAGATCCATGTCTTAAAGAAGATCTATCAAATGATAAGTCAAGGTTCAAGATTTTTAACTTGAATAAGATGGAAATGGGGCGAAATCTTTGGATCCACTTGCTTCTTCAAGAACCCCAAGCTTCCACTTATTCCCTCAAGCTTCAAACAACTCTAAATACTCAAAAATGGCTCAAGAACACTCAACAAGCTCCAGGGTTTCGAGATAAGGCTTTCTGGAAGTGAGAGGGACGATGGAGACTGGGTTGAGGCAAGATAAGTTGTTTTAAATAGGGTGCAAACCCTAAATATTAGGGTTTTGTCCAGACAACCCTACTCGTCGAGTCGGTCTCCCGACTCGTCAAGTAGGTCACTTATCTTCCTGATCAAAAGTCGAGTCTACTCGACGAGTTGGGCCTCCAACTCGCCAAGTCCCAGAGCAAAACATGAAATTACTTGAATTTAAATACGTACCAGGAACCGGATGTTACAAGGACTACCTGTGATTTTGATTGTATGATTATCAGTAGATGTATGGGTATTGTGTTGGGTTGAGGTTGTACTGCTTTGTGCTGTAGCCAAAAAACCCTGGAGCATTCTAAATATGAGTTGAGGGCCGGGTAGGGCAAGCCAGACTCATACTGAGGGTTCAGTAACATTCCAGATATTAGCTGCGGGCCGGGTAGGGAAAGCCAGACTCATACTGAGGGCTCAGTGGCATTCCAGATACGAGCTGAGGATCGGGTGGTATGCCAGACTTGTACTGAGGGCTAAACATTAGTATTTCAGTCTGATGACTGAGGGAGTAAGCCATACATAAGCTGTGGGTCCCGAGGGCAAGCCATTCTTTATGTTGTGGGCTCGGGAGCAAGCCAGATATGAGCTATGGGCCTGATAGGTGAGCCAAACTCATATTGTGAGCTCAGGGGGTAATCCAGTCTTTTAGTTGTGGACCCATTGTATGTTGTTATTTGTATATGTTATCTGTTTGTGTGTTGGTACTTTGGGGGAACTCACTAAGCTGTGTGCTTACAGTTTTGGTTTATGGTTTCAGGTACCTCAGAGAATCGTGGCAAGACGGAGGCGTGATCGTACACATCCCGATTTTATGTCATTGATCTTGGGAGACACTGATTTTTAAATAATGTATTGGAAACAATTTTTTTGTATACACTTTTATTTGTAAATGAGTTGTTTTGAAAAGTTTTAATTGATCGAAATTTTTCGGATGTTACAAGTAATATGGATGAAACCCTAAAAATACGTGGGCTTGGGCCTGAACAGGCGCCACACTATGGTGGCCAGTATCACGCCACATCGTGGGCATCTATGCCCCACGTCGTGGCTGTGGGTCTACTCCAAAAATCCTTATTTGATTCCTTAATTCTTGGCCCGCCTTCTTCGGAAAACGGGATGTTACATATCAAGATTTTCAGGATGATCACAAAACACCTACATAGATTGGAATACGCGTTTAATTGTATCTCGATAGCTAACCATATACCAATGCTTTTTTCATAAAACCCAAAATATTGTTTTCTTTAATTTGTCATTTGACATGATTGATACAAACTCAAATACACTTAGTTCGTATTTTTACATTTTTGTAAATAGTTGTATATAATTGTCGGAAATACACAAAACTCTTGTACAACCATCCATTGTACTCATACATATCCTTAATGGCATCATAGTTTCATGCTTAGTGACCTATAAAACCATACATGTTCATATCAAGCATCTTGCTTAGTTTCATACATGTTCATGTCAAGCATCTTCCTTAGTTTCATGAGTATTCCCCCTTTTGACTTTTGAGTATGTTGTACAAAACCCTAGAAATCACTATTCCACCAAAAACTCTTAGAACTCTTTTTCTTTTATAGAGTGAGGGATCAAATCACCATTAGTGATACATGTTGAGGGGCAACATTATTATTTATTTCCCAACAAAATGTGTATTGCCACGTCTAAGAGAATACAACCTCAAAAATATATTTCCTTTTCTTTTTTGGGCACCGATCATAATTAAATTATAAAACTATAAAATCCTAACGCAGAACCTCGCAACCTCTCTTCGTTCGCCTCTCATGGCAGTTTGCTCTGCCTCCGCCACCGCCACCGCCATCGGTTGCTAGTCGTCGTAATCGGTGTCGGCGTCCGATTTGCCGAAAGCATCAACGCGATACGTCGACCTAGGTTTTCTAGTTTTCTAGGGGGAGGGAGAGATAATAAGGAACGATTTTTGTTTGTGAATTATTATATATATATATATATATATATATATATATATATATATATATATATATATATATAATACGATGGCGAAGAAGAGGAAATCGTTGGCAACGAGCCTAGACGAGGTCGATCGGACTATGTATTCGACGTTTTGCAACGCCGCCAACTCTCTCTCTCAGCTTTACTCGCAAGCTATGAGCCAACAAAAGCTCTCATTTCTATCCGGTGAACGCCATGGATTGGTATATCAAATTATAGATTATTTCCTGTTATATGATTATGTTTTTTCTCCTGATCTTACTTCATTTCCAAAAACCCTAGTTTTTTGTTTCCTGTTTTTTTACCCAACGTAACCAACGTGTTTATGTACACCACACCGATCTTTTTCTATGATTTGGTAGCTTCGAAATCGGCCTGTATTACCAAATTGATTAGGTTATTGCTATTTCCATTTCGCCTTTTTCTGTTCGAGGGCAAGTATCACATCTCCTTCATTGTATTTGCCAATTATTATGGACTCCAATCCTGCTAGTGCTGGATTTAACCAAATGTTTGATGTGATTAGCACAATTTGCCATAGACACAAGTTTTCTTCTTCTTTATGTAGACACATGTTCCTTTTATGAATGTCACTTGAAACTGCAAAAATCATGAACTGGTTGAGTAACGACTACCTTGAATACTTTTTTGTTTATGATCCATGGCTGTGTTTCTTCTGTGGTGAGATTACTTGTTTATCTGTGGGTTTACTTTATAGCTGTTAATATCTTTTCTGTAAACACTTTGTTCTATTTTTATTGATCACACAGGTATTCATAAGATTACTAAGGTGTGCATCAAGCCAAGACTTATCAAAACCCTAATGAACTTCCTTAAATTGACTTTCCAAACACAATGTATTATTAGCCTTTTAGTTTGTAACCTGTAACTGATGAAATTAATTGTAATTTGTAAATTGCACTTACAAAAGGTTGAATCTTGTTGACTTGAATTGAAATTCCATTTTTCAGGAAAAGTTATATCAATGGATTTCCAAGCAATATGCAGAAGGATTGAGAGTGACCACTGAAGACATACTAGCTTATATCCAGGTTACCATGTTATTATACATGAGACTTGTGATTACAAAATTACTTATATACCCCTATAACATACATACATATACATACATACATTATATATGAATGTGCAGGCTGAGTTAGAATCTTCAGTGGAGGAGCCACCAATAGCTCCAAGAACATTGCAGCAGCCACAAGTGACAAATCCGTTCATAAATTCAGGGCCATCCAATGTGCCAGGTGGCGTACAAGGTTTCCGAGGTGAGCTGTGCGATCAGCCGTCAAAAAACTACATATTTTCTAATGCTTTATCAAGCCCTGTTCGTCGCAGCCTTCAAAGCTATCATCATATATCATCATCATCATCATCACCATCATCATCTCATGAACATCAGAATTTTGATTCTTCAATGGATGCAGATAATACCACAGGTCATGATTCTACTCTTTGAAGTTTTTTTTTTACGGTTTTATGGATACACATTAAAACGTAAAAGAAAAAAGAAAAAAGAAAAAAAAAAGGTTGTTAAAGAAATTAAACTAGTGGTGAAGGTTGGTGAAGAAAAAATTAGGTGTTATTTTTGGTGGCTAGAGAGAGAGAGAGAGAGAGAGAGAGAGAGAGAGAAAGAGAGAGAGAGAGAGAGAGAGAGAATGTGAGTTGTGTGGATTTTTGGGTGTTATATGTAAAGTGGTTTTACTTTTACTGTTTTACATGTATGCAAAATATTTGGATTGCTACTGTTTATGCGTCTTTTATGCTTTGTATGGTTATATATGATGCTTAAAGAACATTTGAAAAAATGACACCATAAGGAAAACATAAAATGAGGGCAGTTTTGTAAAAAGTTAGGTCGTGGAAGCCTCATTCTTAAGGTCTCATCAAACTTCAGTTCTTTAATGCAAGAATTGCAGAAATGGTTCATGTGCAATAGTAAAATTTTAGAAATGGTCAATATGTTATTAATTTGTAGAATTACAGTGTGTAATAGTAAAATTATAAAAATGGTTTTTGTGTCCTTATATTTTACATGTAATAGAAAAAATACAGAAATAGCTCATGCATAATAGCAAGAAATGTAAAAATTACACCAATGGTCACAGTGTAAAAGTAAAACACACAGAAATGGCTTGTGTTCAGGAAAAATAACTTTTTGTATTGTATTAGGTTGGAGGGAGTCACATCAGATTTTTTGATGCCATGTCAAATTTTTTAAAGCCACGTAGGACGAAGAAAATGGTAGCATCTAAGTTGCAAAATGTAGGGAGTGATAGTGTTAGTTGAATGAGTTCTATTTTAGAAAAAAAAAATTAAAAAAGAAAAAGAAAAGAAAAAGGTTTCATCCAATGAAAACCAAACATCCAAGTTTCTCTCTCTTCTTTCCTCCTGCTATGTAAATGGCGAGACAATTTTAACAAGTCTTTTAGCATCTTGATGGGAATAGTACTAGCACTTGAAGTTAGAAGGCGAGAGGTTAATTAATTCGATTAAAAACAAATCTTTTGAATTATTTAAGGGTCTATGTGGTTTTCTGAAATCTCCGATATAGTTATTAAGTTAAAAAAATGTCATAAATAGTGTATGTGCTTTCAAAACTTTTAACATATAGTCCATTCCCCACATAAAAAGGCTTATATCCTTTTTAATATATTTTTGTTTCTCTTTATTTAAATCTATTTAAAAAAAGAAAAAGAAAAAGAAAAAAAATAAAAACCTTTCTCTCTCTCTCTCTCTCATGAAGAGGAATCATCTTCTTTTATCTTTGAATGCTTCATATTGGTATAACACACATACTCCTCACACCTCGTTGCCACCACAATCAGTAATCTATTAAAATTGTCTTTAAAACAAACAAACCGTCTTTCAAACAAACTGAAATCGAGTTCATGAAAATGAAACCAACAATAACATATAATGAACAATCTTACCTCTCGTAAATTGATCTTTTCACCATCGACTTTCCCTATTTCGGAATCTACCATTCTCAATACACAGGGCCAAACCAAACATCATGGACAACCAAACAAGACAACGAACTCGTTATGGTCGGCACTGGCGCCAAGGGGGGACTATTGTGAGTAGATGAAAGTTCAAACCCCAACACTACCACTACCAACTTCATTACTTGAACAAATACAATTCTTGTTATTTTTCAGTTTCTTCTTCCTCGCCTTCTTTCCTTCCTAATTCGCGGACGTCCTTATCATCATCGACATTGACACTTGCGTCAGAGCAGTGCATCCCAATCCCCTAGGTTGGTAACTTTGGGGAAAGAACAAACGGAAGTGGAAGAAGCCCTAGGTTAGTATTGAGGATGATGAGTAGTGATTTGACCAGGTAAGGAATTAAGAGCGACAATAGAAGAAGGGGAGTCAAGGTTATGATCGTATTTTCTCATCATGACGGAGATTAAGTCGGAGAAGAGAGGTCATTGTCGATGAAATCTTTGAGCTTCCTTTTGATGTGTTTTTGAACGCAATTGATGGTGGGAGAATCGAGGAGAGTCATTGAGGGTTAACCATCGACGATTATGTATGTATGTGGAGTGTGTGTATATGTGTATTATGTAGTGTATGTATGTGTGTATTGTGGAGTGTGTGTGGGGGTTCTTTCTAGTAACGAGAGAGAGAGAGAGAGAGAGAGAGAGAGAGAGAGAGAGAGAGAGAGAGAGAGAGAGAGAGAGAGAGAGAGAGAGAGAGAGAGAGAGAGAGAGAGAGAGAGGCCCAAGGTGGGGTTTTATTTATTTATTTTTTAAAATAGATTTAAATAAACAAAATCAAATTTATATTAAAAAAGTATAAGTCTTTTTATGGGGATGAGAGACTATTTGTTAAAAGTTTTGAAACCACATGGACCATCTATGATGTTTTTTTAAACTTAGGGACTAGAATTCGGAAAACCATAATGACCATTTATGAGGTTTTTCATTATTTAATTAGTTTAAAAATAAAGTTTACTCTTGAACTTTCTAATTAATTGTTTTGTTAAAGTTAAATATTTGGTCGATGTGAGTGTAGGTATGGATGTGAATATAGGGTAAGTATGGGGCGGATGTTGGAAAGAGGTATGTGTGTGGATATAGGTGTGAGCATAATTGGTTACCCTCTCATATTAAAACAACAAAATAAGAACATCTGTAATATTTTGTTTCTATATGATATAAGCCCTAATTTCAATTGTCTAAAATGACTTCCAATCGAAGTTAAATGTTTCTAGGATGGTGAGATATAGGGATTGTGCATCAAAGTAATATAATGGTTTAGAACATCTCTAACCCTACACTAAACTTACTTTTAAACTAAAATGCTCAAACCTCACCACTAAACATAAAACTATATATAGTGTATATATAGTGATGATAAATAGTACTACCCCGGTCCCAAATTAATAGTCCACTTTTGAATTTTTAAATCTTTTTTCTTCAACTTGGACCTTAAATATTTTTATTTTTTATAGATAATACTTTATGCAAAATATATGAATAGATTGTATTTTAAATGTTTTTTCATTGTTATAATTTTTATCAAATAATATATGACACAAATAAAAATATTTAAGGTCAAAGCTGAAGAAAAAAGACGTCAAAAGTCAAAAATTGACTATTAATTTGGGACGGAGGGAGTATAACACTAAATATATTGTTACATTATATATCAACACTCTCTTTTACACTATATAAGTCAGATAAAACAGAATATAACTTAGAATATTTTTTTAGTGTTAACTATAATGGAGTGGGTTGGAGAGAATTTAATGGTTGCACTATCTTTCCATTATAATAATAAGTTTAGTATAAAAGATAATATTAAGGGTAAGATAGGTCTTAATCATAAAAACAAGCCAAAATTATATGTTTTGTTTTAGGTTATAATGTATGATGTTTAGAATACGATGATGTGTCGCACACATGTATATTTGTTTTAGGTTGCAACGTATGATGATGATTAGATTTTATAACATACATCATATTAGAATGTGTTTGGTTATAAGGATTCTCATAAAATTTTATTCTATTAGAATGTGTTTGGTTGTGAGGATTCTCATAAAATTTGATAGAATAAGATTAAAGATTCTTTTTTTTTTCGGACATGATTTTAATTTTTTTTAAACAGAAATATCTAATCTAAAAGTCATTTTAAGTAGTTAATTTCAAGTTTTTAGCTTTTATGTTTTATATTATTTTATACATTTTTAAAACTTATAACTATTTTTGTACATAAATAAAAAGAACTATATATTCCAACTTCCAGCTAGTTTTGCTATATATCTTTATTTTAAAAGTGTTTTATAGACCAAACACCCTAGTTGAATGTTGTCAAATTTTTCCGAAAGTCTTAAAATAGACTAATCGAACTAGTTAAGGTTAAATTTAAAAATGGGTAAACTTACGTCATACCCAAAAAAATATTGAGTTAAAATAAATAATTTTTAAAATTTTTTTTTTAAAATTTTATGTTTTTTTTAATTATATATATATATATATACATATATATATATAAAAGTTCTTATATATATAATTATATATATATAATTATATATATATATATATATACATATATTTAAAATTTTATGTTTTTTAATTATATATATATATATATATATATATATATATATATATATATATATATATATATATAAGTTCTTAACATAAGTTTTATCGTTTAAAAAGAAGTCCTGATCTTTAATTTAGTATTCATTTTTAATGAGTGTTAAAATATAGTGTTTTTGCTTGAATTTAAATATAAATGTCTAAGATTGCTATCCAATGTAATGATTGTTTTGATGCTTCTTTGCAAATTTGAAGATATTAAATTTGAAGTAAAAGCCATTTGTGTGCTTTGCAAGAAGCCACCTTCCTTTTTTGGCTTTTTGGTTGACAATGCCATTATAACCTCCATGAAGCCACCTCCCTTTTATCATTTTAAAAAAACCCATGTCAAAGGTCCCCTTTCTTAGCCATTCCTATTTTCTAAAGATGATTTATAAAAAGCACCAAAATAATTTAATTCTACTTTTGTGACCATGCAAATTATTCCCCCAACATGGTCTTACCCTTTACATTGTTAGAGTATCTTTACTAGTAGTATCTTTACTAGTAGTATCTCATGCACTGGAGGTTGTACTTATGATCATTTTGTGCCATGCCAAAATCATCTAGATACAAATGTAGGAAGTCCATAAATAAGAGTAAATTACATAAGGGAAAATGACTCTCGAGGGTAATTAACTTTTGCGTTTGTACTCATTTGGTCAATTTCCTTTTTTTTGTATTCAATATACCATCGAACTTGTTGTTTGCGTTCACCATAACCCTTTTGACCAGCTTTTGACCTGTGATAGCCGGTCAAAGGGTTATGGTGAACACAAACAACAAGTTCGATGATATATTGAGTACAAAAAAAAAGAAAGGGACCAAATGAGAACGAACTCAACAGTTGATTACCCTCCTGAGTCATTTTCCCCGAAAAGTTAAATGAAATTAAAGTTGCAAAATTATCAAAGACTGCAACCTTCTTTGGCTATAACGTATATGAAGAGCGTTTCAAAGGGGTAACCTCGTTAGAACATGGTCTATGTTATGCTTACTGTGGTTAGCTGCCAACACCTCTCTGCAAAAGGATATGACTATGTATGAGAGATATATTTATCAGTATAAACGTTTACATCAAGGTATATTATGGTGATGTGTCTACAAAAGTAGCACGATATTGTACATATTGATATTGTATCTTATCCCATGAATTCGATCTTAAAACTAAGTAAACTCAAAAATCACAACACTTTGATTCCACTCGTTTGTAGACTTGTCTAGAATCCATGATACGATAAATCATTTGATTGGAAATGTAAATGTAGTCATGAAATGCGTATGCTTAGTCGAGATTCCCCTAATAAAATATTCAAGTGCATTACAAAGTTGTACATGTATGAATAATGTTCTTTCGTGGGTTATGTTTTGAAGAGAAACAAGAATGAATCTCATAAAGTCATTAATATCAGTAGGAGATGACGTGAGATTTGCTGTAAATGAGTAAAGGGAAAATGAATCAGGAGGGTAACCAACTGTTGCATTTGTTCTCATTTGGTCCATTTCCTTTTTTTTGTACTCAATATACCATCGAACTTGTTGTTTGTGTTCACCATAACCCTTTGACCGGCTATCACATGTCAAAAGCCGGTCAAAAGGGTTATGGTGAACACAAACAACAAGTTCGATGATATATTGAATACAAAAAAAGGAAAGGGACCAAATGAGTACAAACGTAAAAGTTAATTACCCTTAA